CATTCATTCATTCATTCATTCATTAATCCATCCTTTCATCTATCCATGCATCTGTCCATCATCCATCCATTATCCATCCATCCATCATCCATCCATCTGCCCATCCATTTATCCATCCATCCTCCCATCCATCCATTCATCCATCCATCATTCATCCATCCATCCATCATCCATCCTTCTATCCATCCTTCCATCCATCCATCCATCCATCCATCCATCCATCATTCATTCATTCATCCATCCTTCCATCTATCCATCCATCCTTCCTTCCATCCTTCCATCCATTCATCTATCATTCATCCATTCATCCATCCATCATCCATCCTTCCGTCCATCCATCCTTCCATCCATCAATCATCCATCAATCCATTCATCCTGGATGGAGGCAGACTTCATGATTTGTTTACAAAGCTTTGGAGAACAGCCAGCAGTCTCAGAAGATCCAAACATTTACAAGTACACACTTGTCAATGCCTTCACCTGTCTGAGGTTCTGATCCGCTCTGCCTTCCCAAACTGAAAAAGTTAGATTTGTATAAAACATCCAGTCTTCCCAGACCCTCCCTGCTCTGTTGAGCTGTTATCAGAACCCAGCTGCAGAAAAGAGCAATGAGGTACCTGGGAAGTCAGGCAGTTCCCAAGGACTCAAGGATTCTTTGGTACCAGGTCACTGTAATCATATCAATCAAATCTTTAAGATAATAAAAATGATCTCTTGCTGTCCCTGTCATGACCAGTTACATGAAGACTGATTATAACATAGTAAGGATCATGGAACATTTTTATTATTATTACCCTCAGTGTGGACTGAACTCGGCAAAAATAACTTTTCATACTCTGCTCCTGCAACCTGGAACACCTTGCAACAAAAACTGACTCTGTCCACCTTGATTTCTTTAAGGGATTTTAAACATTTGATAAAGTCAACAGAAAAAAATCAAAGCAAATATGTTCTTGTTTTTAGTATTTTATCCTGTTTATATGGCACCTTGATTTAATTTTTATTAAAACAATATTTTTTAAATTGCTTTTATTGTTGTCTGTACATTGGCTGTCTAAAACAGGTCTCTCTTGAAAATGAGTCCTTGTGACTCACTGAGACTATCTGTATAAATAAAGGTTAAAAATATCATTCACAATAATAGTAAAATTGCAGTGTACAAATACATTAATCAAGTAAAATATGGAGCATGGTGAGTGTAAAAAAAATGCATTCCCTTGGCACTGAAAAAAATTGCATATTGTTCGCAGAGATTTTAGGGGACTTTTATTCTGAAAAGAACATACTTGTATTTTGAAAAGATCAACGTGTGGTTCTCTGAGGTTTTACGAGACTTTTATTCTGAAAAGAACAGCATACAGCTTTCAGAGGTTTTACGAGACTTTTATTCTGAAAGAATCAATGCTACATCCCGGAAGTGATGCTGCTGAACCATGAATTTCGCCGGGGGGAGGATTGTTAGCAGGTAAAAATAGTCTTCAGTGTGTGTTTGAGTTCTGACTGTCTGAATGATTTATTTACTGTAATTATTTTAATTTAATTCAATGTCCCGCCGCCGTGTAACAGTTCTGGTCCGGTTCGGAAGGCTGAGGCGTGTGGAAATGGGTCATTATTCTGCTTCCTTATTGTTTAATGAATGAGAAGCAGAACCAGGACTTGTTAGAGTCAGTGTGAGTTTTAGGGACATTCTTCTGTGAGACATGGCAGCTCCTCCATCAGAAACACATCTGCGTTCTTTAAATTACATCTTGTTTTAAACCTTTATTTAGTCTACAGGTCGTCTGAGTCACGAGGACTCATTTTCAATAGCGACCTGTCTTAAACAGATAACAAAATGTTTGTTTGTTAGCAAAATATCTCTCGAACCTCACTGGATAGATTTGAATGAAAGTTATATTTGGATCTCCTCGCAGCTGATTACCTTTTGGAGTTACCACATTTAACATGGCCACAGCAGCCAAACAACAAGAACCATAACTCCGTCAGACATCCAGACTTTATTTACATCCAGACTTTATTTACATCCAGACTTTATTTACATCCAGACTTTATTTACATCCAGACTTTATTTACATCCACACTTTATTTACATCCAGACTTTATTTATATCCAGACTTTATTTATATCCAGACTTTATTTACATCCACACTTTATTTACATCCACACTTTATTTACATCCAGACTTTATTTACATCCACACTTTAGTTATATCCATATTTTGGGGGTGCAGGTAGCTGAAAGTCTGTGACAACACATTCCACAAGCTCTTAAAGCTTTGGCAATTTTTATTTTATTTTATTTTTTGTCTTTTAGCAAAACATTTAATACAGATATCAGTAAAACTCTGAAAATAACCATCATGGCTTTGATTTACTTTTGGAGTCGACACCATTTAAGATGTCTGCAACAGCTAATCAACATCAGCAAACACAAACTGGGCAATAGTTTAGTCAAACAGGACGATACTGAGCCGAGGTTTGAAGAGATCTCACGTGAGCATAATGATATTTTTATGCTTGGACCATTTTTATGGTTGGGGCAGCTGTGGCTCAGTTGGTAGAGTAGTCATCCTCCAACTGGAGAGTTGGGGGTGTGATTCCACCAGCTGTCACTTGCTGAAGTGTCTCTGGGCAACACACTGAAACCCTCATTGCCTCTGATGTGTCCCGTCAGTTTATGAATGTGAAAAAGCTCTGATTAATCTTTACAGATTTAGACTATCTTTGTAGGGATGTAGTAGAGTGTTGTATAAATGTGTGTGTAGTAGAGTGTTGTATAAATGTGTGTGTAGTAGAGTGCTGTATGAATGTGTGTGTAGTAGAGTGCTGTATGAATGTGTGTGTAGTAGAGTGCTGTATAAATGTGTGTGTAGTAGAGTTCTGTATGAATGTGCGTGTAGTAGAGTTCTGTATGAACGTGTGTAGTAGAGCACTGTATGAGTGTGTGTAGTAGAGTGCTGTATAAATTTGTGTAATAGAGCGATGTATGAATGCTTTTGTAGTCGAGTGCTGTATAAAGGTGTGTGTAGTAGAGTGCTGTATGAATGTGTGTACTAGAGTGCTTTATGAATGTGTGTAGTAGAGCGCTTTATGAATGTGTGTAGTATAGTGATTTATGAATGTGTGTAGTAGAGTGCTTTATGAATGTGTGTAGTAGAGCGCTTTTTGAATGTGTGTAGTAGAGTGCTGTATGAATGTGTGTAGTAGAGTGCTGTATGAATGTGTGTGTAGTAGAGTGCAGTATGAATGTGTGCGTAGTAGAGTGCTGTATGAATGTGTGTGTAGTAGAGTGCTGTATGAATGTGTGTGTAGTAGAGTGCAGTATGAATGTATGTAGTAGTGCTGTATGAATGTGTGTGTAGTAAACTGCTGTATGAATGTGTGTGTAGTAGAGCACTGTATGATTGAGTTTAGTAGAGTACTGTATGAATGTGTGTAGTAGAGAGCTTTTTGAATGTGTGTAGTAGAGTGCTGTATGAATGTGTGTGTAGTAGAGTGCAGTATGAATGTATGTAGTAGTGCTGTATGAATGTGTGTGTAGTAGAGTGCTGTATGAATGTGTGTAGTAGAGCGCTTTATGAATGTGTGTACAAAGTAGTAGAGCACTGTATGAATGTGTGTAGTAGAGTGCTGTATGAATGTGTGTAGTAGAGTGCTGTATGAATGTGGGTAGTAGAGTGCTGTATGAATGTGTGTGTAGTAGAGTGCAGTATAAATGTATGTGTAGTAGAGTGCTGTATGAATGTGTGTAGCAGTGCTGTATGAATGTGTGTAGTAGAGTGTTGTATGAATGTATGTGTCGTATAACAAAGTCCATGCTCAATAATCCAGGTATACAATCCATCATTTTTCAGTTATGTCATCTGGACAGTTTCTTTTTTTGTGCTGAAACGTTTTGCCTTTGATTCGGAAGGCTTCATCAGTCAAGGAAACACACAACAAAACTGATTCTTCCCCAACAGCTTACTCCAAATTGGAACAAACCAGTTTTGCATGTGATAAGATGGTCTCTTTGGTACTCCCCCTCCTCCATTGCCGGCCCTCTTTCTTTTTGACAGTCATGTCAAAATGGTTGAAAACAACAAAGTCCATGTTCAATTATCCAGATATACAATCCAACATTTTTCAGTCAGGTCATCTGGACAGTTTCTTTTTTTCTGCTGAAACGTTTCACCTTCGAATACAACGTTTATACAATGTTGGTGGGCTCGTCGGTGGGCACCTGTGACTGGGTCTCTACCCATAGGGACTGGTCGGGCTCGGTCCAAAGAAGAAACATGGGTTTGTCTTCTTGTAGGCCCACCAGGGGCCATACAAGTCGGGTGCAAGATGTCATGGGCGGTAGCCTAAGGCAGGAAACTTGGTTCTCTTGCCCTGGCTTACCAAATCCTTACTCTTGGGACATGGAACATAACCTCTCTGGCAGGGAAGGCGCCTGAGCTTGTGCATGAGGTTGAGAAATACCCACTAGATATAGTTGGGCTCACCTTGATGCACAGTATGGGCTCTGGAACCAATTTCCTTGCGAGGGGCTGGACTTTGTTCCACTCTGGAGTTGCCCATGGTAAAAGATGCCGAGCTGGTGTGGGTCTACTTTTGGCGCCCCGACTTACTGCCTATGTGTTGGAGTTTTCCCTGGTAGATGAGAGGATGGCTTCCCTGTGCCTTGGGGTGTGGGGACAGGCTCTGACTGTTGTTTGTGCCTACGCGTCAAATGGCAGTTCAGAGTATCCGGCCTTCCTGGAGTCCTTGGTGGGGATGCTAGAAGGTGCGCCAGCTGGGGACTTCTTTATTCTGCTGGGAGACTTCAATGCCCTTGTGGATAATGACAGTGTGATCTAGAGGGATATGATTGGGAGGAACGGCCTCTCTGATCTGAACTCGATCAATGTTCTGTTGTTGGACTTCTGTGCTAGTCATAGTTTTTCCATCACAAACACCATGTTTGTTCATAAGGGTGTCCATAAGTGCTCTTGGCACCAGGATGCCCTAGGTCATAGATCGATGATTGACTTTGTCATGTCATCTGATTTGCAACCGGGGTATTTTGGACACTCGGGTGAAGCGCTGAGCTGAGCTGTCAACTGATCACCACCTGGTAGTGAGTTGGGTCAGATGGTGAGAGAAGATGTCGGACAGACCCAGTAGACCCAAATGTGTAATGAGGGTTTGCTGGGAACGCCTGGCAGAAGAACCTGTCAGAAATATCTTCAACTCGCACCTCTGGGAGAGATTTAACCGCATCCCAGCTGAGGTGGGGGACATGTCTTAGTGGGCCAAGTTCCACACCTCAATTGTTGAAGTAGCTGCCTTGAGCTGTAGTTGCAAGGTTGTCGGTGCTTCTCACAGTGGCCATCCTTGAACTCGGTGGTGGACATCCTGGGTTAGGCTGTCAAGCTGAATGAGTCCTATCTATTTTTTTCATTTACCCTTTATTTATACAGGTAGTCTCATTGAGTCACAAGAACTCATTTTCAAGAGAGACCTATTTAGGGAGCAAATGGTGGGGGTTAAGGGCCTTGCTCAGGGGCCCAGAGTGGGGCGAATGAGGGTGGAGACAGGTGTGAATGTTTCACCTTTTCCACCCACATATTGACGGTACCGGGAGTTGAACCTGCGACTTTCCGATCACAGGCCCATGTTCTAACATCTGTGCACTACTCCCCCTACTCCCCCTATCAGGCTTTGTTGGCTGGTGGGACTCCAGAGGCAGCTGAGGAGTACCGGAGGGCCAAATGGTCTGCAGCCTTGGCTGTTGCTGAGGCAACAACTTGAATGTGGGAGGAGTTCAGTGAGGCCGTGGATAAAGATTCTCGGTCAGCTCAGAGGAGATTCTGGCAAACCGTCAGGCAGCTGAGGAGGGGAAAGCAGTTGTGGAGCTGTCTTGGTTGACATGCTTTTGCAACATTGTGTGGACATTGGGAGCAGTGCCACTGGATTAGCAGACTGGGATAGTGGATCCCCTCTTCAAAAAGGGGCGTACCAGAGGGTGTGCTCCAATTTTAGGGGCATGAATCTCCTTAGTCTCCCTGGTAAGGTCTAATCAGGGGTACTGGAGAAGTGAGTCAAATTGTTGGTTGAACCTCGGATCCAGGAAGAACAATGTGAGTTTCATTGCTCTCTTTGGGTCAGGGGTGAGGTTCTGCCTCAAGTGGAGGAGTTCAAGTATTTCAGGGCTTTGTTCAAGAGTGAGGGAAGAATGGATCGTGAGATTGACAGACGGATCGGTGCAGCATCTACAGTATTGCGGATTCTGCCATTCCATTGTGGTGAAGAGGGAGCTGAGCTGTAAGGCAAAGCTCTCTCTTTACTGGTCGGTCTATGTTCCTACCCTCACCTATGGCCACAAACTTTGGGTAATGACCAAAAGAAGGAGATTGCGGATACAAGCGGTTGAAATGAGGTTCCTCTGCTGGGCTCTCCCTTAGAGATAGGGTGAGAAGTTCAGTCATCCGGGAGAGACTGAATAGAACCACTGCTCCTCCACATCGAGAGGAGCCAGTTGAGGTAGTTCCAGCATCTGGTAAGGATGCTTCCTGGGCACCTCCCTAGGGAGGCATATACGACTGGGAGGAGACTCAGGGGAAGACTAAGTACACACTGGTGAGACTATGTCTCTCTGTTGTCCTGGGGACTCCTTGTATTCCTCCCAAAAGAGCTGGAAGAGGTGGCTGTGGAAAGAGATGTCTGGGCCTCCCTGCCCAAGTTGCTGGCCTCTTGACCTGACTTTGGATCAAACAGAATATATTTATATTTATATTCTTAGCTTGCAGCATTCTAATAAAAAATGAACTTTTGAATATGTATTTTGGAATGTTTTCTTTGCTTTATTTGATATGAATCTTTTTTTTTCGTAGGTGATTGCCATGCTGCCAGTTGTAGTTGTCCATGGAGGGGCAGGTCATATTCCGAAGGAGCGGTCAGAAAAGTCCACTATGGGGGTGTGTTCAGCAGCGCAGGCAGCATACTTTGTTCTCCAGGGTGGAGGCAGCAGTATGGATGCTGTGGTTGAAGCTGTGACCAGTTTGGAGAATAACCCCTCTTTTAATGCAGGTAACAGTAACTGAAAGTTATTTGGACGAGGCAGAGGTACAAGTCTCCGATGGTCACCACCATCGTGTAAAGTCATCTTTTTCTAGATGCAAAGTTTTATTTACGTTTAGTATAAAGTTTGCTGTGAACTCAGCAATGAACATTTTCAGAGTTTTTATTGATACAAAGTGTTGACCAGCTAGTCATATAGCCACATTTGGTGTGGATAATTGCTGAAAATATAATATTATTTTTGTGTGTGTGGCTTGTAAAACTGTATAGGCCATTCACATTAGTTTGTTTGTAAAAATAAAACTATCAAAAATTACCCCACCCATACTAGAAATTCTAAACATAGGTGCAGTAGTCCCTCATTTATTGCAGGGGATCCGTATCCTGAAGCCCCGCGATAAGTGAAAAACCAAGAAGTAAGAATAGTAGTACAAGTATTAAGTAGTGGTTTATTTTAGTGTATGTATATATATGCAATGTTCTAAACAATGTTTCTAAACTCAAAAATGTTTCTAAAAGAGTGCAGAATCAGTTTCTGGTTTGTTGCACTCGAATATCCAGTGGATTATTTCCCTAGATATGCATGGAGTGGTTGTGTGGGTTTGGGGTGGGGGGGTTGGGGTGTGTGTGTGGGGGGGTGCATTTAGCCAGAACCCACCAGAGGTTAAAGGTGCTCACCTAGATTTCTGTTTTGAGATCCCAGTTTTCCAATTTCAACAACACTCTTTCAAATCAAAAATTGCAAATGTAACTGAGGTGTGAGTATCAGAGGTTTTATCACAGTGACCCAGAGAAAACTGCTCAGAGCCAGAATGTATATTATTTTGAAAACATGCTTTGTTGTCCTGGGATCGACACAGCTCCCTGTGGCCCAGAAAGGAAAAACTGGTAAAGAAAATAAATGGATGGATTGATGTTTTTATTTATTCAATCAAACCAGACGGAAAGATTACACATCGGTACTAATGATTAAGCCTGTAAAAGTCAGTTATCTTTATCGTAGCTCATATAATATTTTGTATTTTAATTTTAGTAATGAGTTTGGCAGCAAAATATGTCTCATAAATAATTCCTCCACCATGTTTCAGGGTGTGGCTCTGTGCTAAACATTAAAGGTGAAGTAGAGATGGATGCCATTGTGATGGATGGGAAAACTCTGGCCAGCGGTGCCGTGTCTGCAGTACGTAACATAGCTAACCCAGTTCAGTTGGCGAGACTGGTCATGGACAAGGTAATGCACCATGAGATTATTCCTTTTTTTAAATAATGCTTCTTACTCCACAGCTGATGCAGGTAGAGTGAGAATGTTTGCTGCTTGGGGTACAAACATGCTGAACCTGGAAAACAAATCTAACCAAACTCCGATGCTGCAGTTTGTTTCCAGTGTTCCAGTAAATCAATCTGCCGTTGTAATCATTGACAGAGATGTGTGATCTTTCCTTCAGACCAGTCATGCATGTCTGACAGCAGAAGGAGCCAGTCAGTTTGCCCACTCTATGGGAGTCGCTGAGGTTCCTCAGGAGTCCCTCATAACTGAGTATTCTCGCATGCGCTGGAGAAAGAACCTAGCCCCTGATGCCAACCCTGTGGAGAGCCAAATGTAAGACTTGACACAGTTTTAGACAGCGTTTGTTCCGAAATACAGAGAAATGTATTGATTTCAGTCCCTATGTCCAGTCTTGTCCCTATTAAACCAACATTTAATCACACATGTTTGAAATAATGGTCATCAACAACAACAGGTGAAACTAACACAAATAAACCCACTGAGTTTCTTTACACTTTCTAAGTTCTTGTCCTCCAGTTGACATTTTGTCACCTCTGTCATCTGTACAGCTTTAGCACTCTAGAATTATAGAAACTAATTTGAGAGGGGTTGTTTGAGACACCCAAAATAACTTAGCAACACGTTCATAATTCATGTCTTTGTGGAATTCTAACTTGGACTGATCTATTTTCGGCTGAATGTTCTTTTAGTTCGGTGTGAACCTTTCAACTGTTTTCTCCTCAAACATTAACATCCAAAAAAGTTCAATCTGGTCTCTGGACATTCAAAAAAAAAAAAAAAAAACAAGCAAAAAAATCTAGAAACGTTTCATCTCTCATCCAAGAGACTTCCTCAGTCTGAGGTGCTGTTTTCAGCTCAGTCTCTTAAATAGCACCTTCTCAGAGTGGATCAACCAGTTTTGCTGCTGACAACCAAATCCAGCTGATCACATGCTCAAGAAGGACCATCAGCCTAACAATGGATC